CAGACTTTTGAGACGCCCATCACTATTGTACTCCATATCTCTGAAAGCCTAGGTGAGAAGGCCGTCTAAAATGGAAGGGCATATACATTTGTATGAAATCCCCTCGCTCTTTCCCTTCCACACCTTGTCACAATTAAATATTTAAGTCCCTTTGATGATGGAAAGGAAACTTGATGCTCTGATGGAAATGCTGTAGGGGGCGTAGCTTATCCCTCTTTTTCTTCTCCCGTGCTTTTCCTGGTGGTATTGAGCTGGCATTGTGCACATAAAAGCACTTGGTCTCTCTCCAAGCACATGGGTGTTTAATACTCCAGCCTCATTGCATTGCCACATGAATTACTAGGATGTACTGGGATTACCTTTGCATTTGTTTCAGTCAAGTTTGTTGTTAGTTACTCCCCAAGTATGGCAGGTATTTGGCTTGTTTGGTGGTAAATGTAGACGGTGGGCTGATGAGGTATAAGGGGGAGGCTGGATCATGCCTGGCGTTTTTCCCACATCTGTGTCAACACGCTGGCTGCTCACCTGCATGTGTGGAGGGGACCAGAAGTCAGCAGAGCACGGGGCTTAGAGGGCTTTCTTTTTCAGTAGCACTTTGAACTCTATTTTCCAGTGAATTAAGCTGAACCCAGAAGAGTGGTGTGCCTTAACTCAAAAGGAGCTAATCTGTAGCTGAGCTGGGAGTAGAACTGGGGTCTCTTGGTTCCTAGTCCATAACGCTCTTCAATATATATTTGAAGAGATAATGATACATTTTCAAAAGTTAGCATCTAGTAGGGTTTTCATGCTGAGTTTGGGGAAGCTACTGTTGCTTAGAAAAACCAAGTGAGGAGAAACAAGTTGACAGCGTTAGCTGCTGTCTGAGGATGGATGCTGGTGGACTGGCCACACTATTTCTAATGCATTTGGAACGCATCGTGGAATGGCATAAAGAATAAAGGAAATTTTGGGTTTAGTCCTGAATCTGAAAAACAAAATAAAACATCTATCTCTAGACATGTTGTTTTGAAACAACCTTTAGGTTCATGAACTGTGGCTTGTCCAACTAAGAAGCGTGCTGATGGCTGTACTCTGGGTGTAAACGTGTTGTAGAACAACTAAGACCCCAAAATGTACATTGTACTTTCGTTCAATAAAGGATGAAACAGGCTTGGGTATCATGGATTCAGTTCTTTAGTATATAACCTGATCCAGCTCTGTGAGTCACAAATCTCAAATGGGGGCGTGCACTTCTAAGAACTTCAAAGCGCTGCCTATGTAAAGTGATTGGGGGGGGGGCGGGATTAAAACTAGGATTCTAACGTCAGTAGTTTTAGCAAGAGCCTTCCTTATATTCCGCTTAATATCTAAGAAGTCTGTAGGGTAGTGGTTCTCAATCTGTGGGTTGTGAATTCTTTGGGAGCATCTAACAACCGTTTCATGAGGGTCACCTAGCCATAAGAAGCATAGATATTTACATTATGATTCATAACAGTAGCAAACATTACAGTTACAAAGTAGCAATAAAAATAATTGTATGGATGGGGGGGTCACCACAATGTGAGCAACTGTATTAAAGTGTTGCCCCTTAGAAGGTTGAGAACCACTGATACTGGGGAGAAAGTAGGAAACACAAATGACAACCAAGTCATTGAGTAAGCAGTCAGATACTTCAAAAGGGAACAAAAGATCAGTGAATCGGAAATACACACACACGCACATGCACACACATACACATGCACACACATACACACATGCACACACACACGCACACACATATACACACGCACACGTGCGCACACACACATACACACATGCCCACACGCACACGCACACACATACACACACGCTCGCGCACACACACACACACACACACACACTTGTGCATTGTCTATTCTTCCTTAGCATTCTGAGATGGCTCTCTTGTAATGCGACAGGGATTCATCCGTTCCCCACCATTAGGAATTTAAATTTCACAGCAGCACTAAGCTCCTATAGGTGCTGCGAGCATTCACACACTCCTGAAATACAGACGCCAAGATAGATCGTTGGCCTGTGTCCCAGTCTTTCTATCCACTTCAGCAACATTGCTGGAGAGAATTGCCTTAAATGTGCTGGCCATGGAGACTCTATCCATGCCTCCTGCTGTGCTCTCACCAGGTCCAAGTGGAGAAGTAGAGACCTTTGTAAGGCAGTGGCTGGGCACCTTACCTTCATCATCTCTCAAAATCCAGTCTGGAAAAGAAGGACTAAGTCACAAATGTGAGAAACAAAATGTCCATGATTTGCAAACCCAGCCCTCAGGCACTCTTCTGTTGCACACATTGGGGTACAGATCCTCTTATTACTCAGCTCTACAAGAGAACAAACCTTTTTACCAGGTGTTCCAGTCTGCAGCTGGAATGTGTGTGTTAGTGGAGAGAGAAATCCAGGGTGTTACACACAAGCACCACATTTCCTAAAATTAGACAAGCTTACTATGTTCAAGCAAAAATGTTCAAACACTTCTCTGGGAATTAAAAGATATCTGTGGTGGATAATCAATTTCAGGGGGAAATTGTTGTAGGGGGTTGCTTGTTCCTTTCCTGGCCACTCAGACACCTGAAATAATCACACAGAAATTAAACTATTTCAACCATTGCTTGGCCAACCACTTAATCATATTGCCAGCTAGCTCTTATATCTTTTGTTAACCCATTTCTATTATTTTATATTTTGCCACGAGGCTTGTGGCCTACCAGCAAGGCTCCAGCTGGCGGCTTGTGTCTGTCTCTGGCCGTGGCTCCATGGCTTCTCTCTACTCCATCTTCTTTCTCCCAGCATTCAGTTTAGTTTTCCCCACCTAGCTCTACTTTGCCCTATCAGGCCAAGCCAGTTTCTTTATTCATTAACCAATAAAAGCAACACATAGACAGAAGGACCTCCCATACCAGAAAATCAACCAATTAGTGGGTAATCAAATTCAGGGGGAAAAGAATCAGTGGGTAATCAATTTCAGGGGAAATGGTGACTCATTATACCAATAAAAGTCCTGATTAAACCTTTAACTACAGGTATTGCTCAGAGATAGGCCATTGATGACTTGTAACACCTTGTTGGACATATTTAAGCAGAAAATGATAAAATGAATTATTTAAAACTTTTTCAGAATTGGTACTAATATAAGTTTTCTACCCTATCACAGGCCACAGTACACATGCATGCATGCATGTGTGCGTGCACACACACATATCTGATGTGTTCTTCTGTTTTGATTTCGAAACTGTAGTTGATACTTTAATTTATTGGTTTTAAGTTAATACGAAGCATTAGATTTCTTATCTTAGTAAGAAATATAGCATATTATTTAACAATAAATCACACTTCTTTCTAGGTGAATACTGTTTATTTTATTGCAACATGAGGTTAGTTGTACAAATATCACCAGAATTGTCTTACTCAGTTTCTTTTTATTTATTTATTTATTTATTTATTTATTTATTTATTTATTTATTTAAGATTTCTGTCTCTTCCCCACCGCCGCCTCCAATTTCCCTCCCCCTCCCCCAATCAAGTCCACCTCCCTCGTCAGCCCAAAGAGAAATCAGGGTTCACTGACCTGTGGGAAGTCAAAGGACCACCCACCTCAATCCAGGTCTAGTAAGGTGAGCATCCAAACTGCCTAGGCTCCCACAAAGTCAATACGTGCAGTAGGATCAAAAACCCATTGCCATTGTTCTTGAGCTGACCTGGGTCTGAAAAAGCCTGGGATAAAACCGGTCTTGCTGAACATAGCGGACAATGAGGACTACTGAGAACTCAGTTTCTTTTGGTACGTCTTAATTTCTATGTTTTGCTTTATTAGAAGGGAAATCACCATGCTCTAGTAACACACCTGAGCATCATTTCCACTTACTCATTCTTTAATTAGCATTTTGATGAACTACATTGATATTCTTGTTTCTTTTTCTGACACTTCTTATAACAACACAGGGGTATTCAGAAGGTGCTTATTAAATTATATATAACAGCAATACCCAGAATAAAGTTAGATTTCAGAATAGAACATTAGCAAAGAATATTAGTGTCTAACCTGAGACACCGAGCCAGCAGGGCTTAGATGGAAGTTACAACACACCAGACCTCTGGAATTGCACATTTTCTGCTTTCACGAGGCTAAAGGGAAACTTAGTATCACAGTGGTGGAGTTTCCATGGTGTAATGGAACAATTTATTCTTCAGATTTTCCTGTTTAGGGGAAAAACACCTAGATAAACCTCAAACTTTGTGGTTTGTTAATTTTATCCTTAGCTTGCCTTATTATTATATGCTGGTGAAGATCTTACTAATAAAGTCAGTATCATCACTAAACATAGATGAGCCTTTCAGTAACTAATAACCAGAAAGATGTTGGACGCCTCAGGTTGACCCTTTGTTCTTGATGAGTCATTTCTGCTTTAGATCCCTACTTTTGTCTAGGATGCTCTACTACACAAATTCGTTGTCTCTGCTTTATGCAACCTCAATTCTGTTTGCTGGGACACAATTTTCTTTGCTTTCTCTCTTGAGAAGAAAATGTTAAAAATTAGGAACACAGTCAAATTTTGAAAGCAGTCGCCGTCTACACCAGTATGCATAGACAGTTCTTCTGTTTTACTCCGCAGTACTTCTGTGCTAAACATGAACTTTGTGTTGGGTGGTTGAGATGGAGGGGCAAGAGCTTGGGCTGCTGTAGAGATTCACAATTATAGCCCAGGGTTTATGATATGGTGTAGGGTGTTGATCTCTTGCATCACACTCTTTCCTCTGGGGTACCATTTAGAGCCTTTTGTGGGGGGGGGGGGATCATCTTCACATTGCAATTTGTAGTCCTACATCATGAATTCAGGGAAATGACACAGTGCTAGCAATGTGATTTGCTGTGCATGGACCAGATCTGTTTAAACTGTATCAATCCCCTGTTTTAAGAAGCTATTGCTTTCTGGATTTCTTATAAGAGAGAAGATACTTACCTTAGTGCTTCATTGATTTTTCTCTTGCAGAACCTCAGATGGTGGAAAAGCAGTTGGCACCATAGAAGTCAGCCTCGTGAAGATGGGGGAGATTGAGGATGGGGATACCGACCACATCACAACAGATGTGCAGGGACAAAAGGTAGGATTGCAGGCAGCTTGCTGCGCAGATTAAATTAGAAATGATAAGCTTGGCCAGAAGCCTGTGTTGCCAACACCCTGTGGGCTTTGAAATCTCATTATTCAAAAGCTAAATGAGAAATCATCTCTGGAGTCGAAGCAGGATATGCGCATTTCCTCTGAAGCAGAGTGCTATTTACCCGGAGCTGCACAGAGCTGTGCCTTTCAGAACACCTTTCTCTTCCCTGCCGGCCCCCATGTTGATATCATCTCTTCTCAGTGGGAACAAAAGTGGAGATCGTTGTTGCATTTTGCCATGATTACCCTGCAGGAGGCATAGGGAGGATTCTGGGAAGGTGACAGCCAAGTGTAGCCTGCTCTTTATTCCCAAAGACGTATTTGGAAAGAGGCATACCTCTAATTTGAATTTTATATGAAGGAGAGCATATTGAACAAGAACTTTGTATTTTATAAAATTGCATGGAGGGGAGACAGAGGGTGAAGGAGAGGGAAAGAGAGGGAAAAAAAGAAAGAGAGAAAGAGAGCAGAAAAAAGCAGATGTATGTCATCCTCCAGATGACAATGTTAGCAATGTAATAAATAAAGTAAAACAGTGTTTTTGAAGCTCAAGCCCAAGGAATGTCTGTACAGGCCTTTCTCTGTCTTTTCCCTTTTCTAGAACAACAGCAATAACAACAGACAATATAAATATCAGCCTAAATATTTTTCTTTCGAATGCAATTTTTATTGTATTAAAGCAATTGAGGTGCACAGTTCAGGCTTTAAAAAGACTTCCAGAGTTTAATAGAACATTTACTATTTCATGTTATGTTTCATGTATGTTATGTTTATTTTATGTTCTAATTTTAATTACAATAATTTTACTATGACTTATACTTTGTCTTAAATGAACATTTTAAAGCATAAAGTCTGTTGTGACTTGTGACTTTTTTTCTAGTTTGTTGCTCCTTAACTTGGAATTAGTCAGGGTTTATAAAGAACAGAGCTGACACTGGTAGAATGTGTGTGTGTGTGTGTGTGTTATATGAAGGGCATGGTCCAGGTAGGCCAACAATGGCTGCCTCACACTGGAGAGGTGAAGAATTCAGTAGTTGTTCAGTCCGTGAGGCTGGTTACCTCTGTGGTCCTGACCTGGTGCCAGAGGCCTGAAGGATTCCTGGAGACCTCTTGGTCTTCATTCATGTCGGCATGCCAAAGAAGTTGAGGGAAAAAAATGCCACAGCAACAGGACGGATAAAATTGCCAACAAGAGTAAAAACTTTTAGGCAAAAAGCCATGCTTCTTCTTCAGTGTCCCTTTCTCTGGGCTGCCACCAGGAGGAACAGCCAACATTCAGGATGGATTTTCCTGCTTCAGATAATCTTCCTGAGAAACACTGTCACAGGAGTGCCCAGCAGCTTGTGTTTCTGTTGGTTCCGTTTGTAGTCAAGCTGACAACCAAGATTAGCCAGCATGGAATATGCTTGACATTTAAGCCTTGGGAAATATCTACTTGGGGGATTATATTTACTTAACATTTACAAAACATCTTTCTTTTTAAAACAACAGTATCTAAGACTGTCTTTAAAAAAAATGTTTCTCTTTTCCCTGAATGAGCTGATATTTCTTCTTCCCCAAACCTTATTCTCTTCTCTTGCATCTTCCAGGAATGTTATCACACACTGTGACATATCCCAAGGCTCCTATGACAGGTGGGCCATGATGATTTCTGCAGCAGATCTGTAGTTTGTGCATATGAGATGTCTGGTCTGGGCCTTGGTCCTTCCACTCCAACCGTGTTCCCTAGAGCATGCCACATAATGCTCATCTTTGCCACCATCACACACGTTCTTACATTAAGTTGAACAGAAGACAATTTGAATTCTATACTGGGCACCAGGTGCTGAAGTATGCAGACAGGCTGCCTAAACCTGGAGCAACATATCAGGCCCCCAGCTGCCGTAGCATCAGCTCCCACTTCAGAGGTTAGCTGCTGATTCTGCTTTCTCTGGAGCTCTCCACACTGACTGTTTTCTCAACTCACCTGCTGCTTGACACCAGGCTGTTTCCTGAACAAAGCAGTGTGACCTGAGGGATCAGTGTGACCCAGGACACATCTGTGTCGATTGCGTTGGTGGGTTACTCAGTCTAGGGGTTTGTAACCCACCCTGCAATCAGTTATTCCAGGGTCTCGGAGGGGCGCTACCTGGAAGGGAATGGGCTAGGACAGAAGAATGAGGCCAAGCAGATTTGTCAAAGCCCCCCTTATTAGGATCATGGTTGCTGTTTATATAGCCCCTGAAGGGTAGGGAAACTGGACTCTTGCCGCGTGTTCCAGGTCATGTAGGCCAGGTTACATTCGGACAGGTAGGCCAAGAAGTCACAAGTTGCCACACCTGATTCCCTGGATAGCTGGAATGTGAGGCGCGTTCTGCTAACAGATAAGTTAATTGGGTGTGGGGCAGGTTCTCTCAATAGAACATAATTATGGGTGTGAGGTTCCCTGCAGACTCCCCAGGGTGATGGTTCCTGTAATGATTTTTAGGGGGGAAATGGCTTGTAACATATCCCCCTCTCTTAGCTCACCCACCCCGGATTCCAGTTAGCTGCTGTGATGATGCTGTAAATGGAAGGATACTGGGTCTGCCTTGAGCCCCCTCTGTGTTCTCCTCACTGTTCACCTGCCCTGCACTGTAGCTCATTATGACAACGATGTGTAAAAGCCTGAGGGATGGTCTTCTCGGAAACGTAGAACTTGCTACCTGGGAGGTACCCCACCAGAGTAGCACACAAATTTTAATGGGCTAGCAATGTGGATTCATCACAGATGAAACTTTTCTTTGATTGACATTGATAGTCTCAGAACATACTGTGAGTGTCAGAAGTTAACAAGACAGGTAAACATGCCAAACATCGTTGGCATAAACTTTGTCTCATTTGGACTTTCAACAAATCTTAACTTTTTGCAGTTTTCTCTTTATAAAATGATTTATACTCCTCTGCAATTCCTAAGAAAATTTACGATTAAGTGGTAAATATATATTAAATTCTCATATATACAATAATCATATAAATATCATGAAAATAGCTTTATTTCAGTGCTTTATGACATCTTTTCAGAATAGCAGAAGGATAAATCTCTCTGTAGATCTTCCCACTCAAAATTGTCATGAAGTGTGGGCCAGTGTCTGTCACTAGAGCTATGAGATGTCAATGACTGATGACTGATAAAGAAGTTCATCCACTGAAACAGTGAACATTTTTAGAGTCCACATGGTTTCGAATGGTTGGGAAGATGGCTCAGCTGATAACAGCACTAGCCAAACAAGCATTTGAGACCCAGCACCTATTAACAAGTTGAGCTTGGCCGTGACTACCTGGAACTCCAGCACTGTGGGCCTAGGGTATAGACAGATTGATCCTGACAGCTTGCTGACCAGCCATCTTGGCCAAAATGGCGAGCTTCCTGTTCAGTGAGAGACAGCCTCTCAAGACACTAAAATGGAGAGTGGTTGAGGGAAACACTCAAAGTTCTGGCATCTTTCACAGTGTGCACATGGATGTTTGTACACACATGTTTGCACACACGAGAGAGAGAGGAGAAAGAAATCAGATAATAAAATTCCATGGATTGGGAGGAGGAAAGTAGAACTTCTACAGTGAGGTCAAGAAGTGGCATGTGTGTCATGTAGATTGAAACCTACTAAAGGCTGTCTCTTGCGATAGCTAGTTTAGAATTCCATAACAAAATGCATGGTCTAAGTGACTTCAAAAAAAGACTCTTATTTTGTTACAGTTCTAGAGTATATAAACCTAAAATCAGTATGCTAGCCAATTTGGTAACTTGATATCTGGTGAGCAATATTAGTTGATTTAATCAGTTGTGTGGGGTGTTGTCTGATTTTTTTTTTTTTGTCATGGATCTAACTCTCCAGCAAACAGAATAGTTGTTCGAAATTACAGGGCTATTGAGTTGATATGATACCCTCTGATTTGCAGTGTGGATGGGCCACGTGGAGTGGGAAGATCCCATTTCTGTGTGTCGTCTGCACAGATGAGGATCTTCTATGAGGCATCAAGCATAAAGTGGTCTTTGACTACAAAGAGCCAGCGCTGCCTCCATGGAGAATAGTAGTATCTCAGAAGAGCAGGCTGATCTCTGTGAATTCAGGATTTTGTGTAAAAGGTTCCAGATAGATCATTACGCTGCATTCTGTTGTCCATGCTCTTCTTCAAAAGACGATATCTCAAAGCTGTACCTAATGATTTCATGGACAGCTGTGACACACAAACTAGGAAAGTGTCTCCACCCCAGTCTGAGGCAGTGAGATCTGACTTCAGCCAATAGGCACTCCATGCTGAGATGATGATCGCTGTGTTCCTAAACGGTCATTTAACAGCTTTGTGTAGACGGAGATGAGATGAGGACATACTGGAAACAGGAGAAATGAGCCTTAAGTAGACCCAAGTCTCACTGCAACTTTCTCCGGTTATATCAGGAGTACCTTCCCCGCCTTGCTATGAGAAAGGAAGATGACCACAAGTGACATGTAGCTGGTCAGAAGAAGCATTTAAAAGACTAAAATTCATAGTAACTTATCTGTATAGATGGAACTCAATACAGAAATGGCAAAACCATATTAACAAGCTTATTGCATAGTGTAACTGAATGTCACAGTCAAGGCACATATAGTAGACAGATTTCAGAGTCATTAATAAAGACATACATTGTCTGTCTTCCTCTTCAAAACTGTCCCAGGAATATGTATACTTCTTTTTCATGAGGGTTCCTTGTCTGAGCTTCTAGGAGAGACCATCCCTGGGAAAAGGAATAAGGGGCAAAAATGAGGGTAAGAAGATAATATGAGATCAGACAGGAAATAGCCTAAGGAATTTTAGGTCACCCCCTTGGGGACGGGTATCTGAGGCTGTAGACTCTTCCCTGAAGAGCCTAGCAGGACCTACAGATAGATTACAGTTTCCCTAAGACTCTCACAGTGAAAGAACATTCTAGGCCTTCTGTTTATTTTATTTTGTTTATATTAACTATTAATATCTGATGTGCTTGCTGTGAAAATTCTCCTCTTTGGTAGAAGAAGGAAAATTAGTCCCTCATCAGCCCACTGGGGATAGGAGAATTTCGTTTCTTCTGTCAGTTACAGCTTCATAGGAAGACAAATGAGGAACTGTTTGAGACCCTGACTCCTGCTATGGCTTGATCACTGAGGACATGTCCTCTTCAGTTCCTTCTTCTCCTCTAACCAGGAAATCCTTAGCCTCAGATCTTATGAACTCTTAATCACTAGCTTTGCACGTCAGGTTACTTGTAACGCACCTCTTATTTTATGAGAAAGGGTTTGCACTGTTTTGTTAGAGACAAAGAATATGTTTGACCTAGAAATGAGATTATTCAATATACTTTTATTTCATGTTTTCTTTACTTGAAATATAGGAGTTCGTATGCTGAAATTCACCAATGTGATGGGAATATAAATATTTGGGTCCTTGGCTCACTTTCCTAAGGATGTAAATTTTATTTTTGTACTTGAAGGACAGTCACTTTCTTTTTAGTTATTCCTCAAGTGCCATTTAACCAGAAATAAAGTGTACTCTGTAATTACACAGTTTATATGTATTACATATAAACATGAGTAAATGGTCACAGCTTAAGCAAACAATACATTCAAGATGAAGTTAGAAACAGATAGCTCGTTTAAAACTCTTGAAACCACATGCAGAGCTTCATGTTGTTGCAAACAAAAGTAAATCATTTAGTCTCTCATTTCATTATTTTAAAGTGTGATTACATTTTTTCCCCATTATTCCTAGTGTGCACTAGCGTATGAATGTACAGCCGCAGAAAGTGGGAGCGGGAAGGACAACTCACCTTTATTAAATGCAGGTATGTAACTCAACTTTGGAAACTTGTGTTAATGCTATATGAACATAAATTTTAATTTTCTATGAAATCCTTGGTATTAAACTTGGACAGCATCCTCTCAGAGGCCCTCCTGAGTACTCTGTTTACTCTATGCTTGATGGAGAAAAATGTAACGGATTATTAATTTTCTATTTTCATGTAGGTGATAGGTTTGGGGGGGTGACCTTCCACTCAGTTCTGAATATAGTTCTAAATGTCCTAATCCAGTCAACCTCAAAGAATGTGCAGGATATAAGACGTCAACAGCTTCTTTTTAGTTACCTTACATTAGGAAGAATGAGGCCAATTGAGTCTGTGTTCTAAAGTTAGAGTTTTTAAATTTAAAAAAAACCCAAACTAAGTCTTAGACTTTAGATAAGAAGTGTGTTGTGAAGATTAAAAAAAAAAAAAAAAAAAAAAAAAAAAAAAAAAAAACCTTACTCATGACTTTGGCCTACGTGCCCCCGTCTTTCCTTCTCTATATTTATCTATCTAAACTCAGCAGCTTTGGCATGAACCTGCTTACATTCCCCTGTGGGAATTTTATTCTTTAGACAAAGGGAGCCATTAGCATTCTCTAGGTTTTGCATTAATGTATTCTATGGAACTTGGCAGTGTGGTGTGAACTATGGAGTCCCTACTGAGTGGGAGAGAATATCATACCACAGTCTTCCACTTATATCTCTAGAGATGTCATTCACAATTCAGGAAACTCTTTTGTCTATTGTAAAAAAACAAAAACTGTTTGCCTAAAGTTCTTATCCTTTTCCAAGCTTGTCTGTGTTGCAAAGTTGAGTGTGTGTGTATGTGTGTGTGTGTGTGTGTGTGTGTGTTTGGAATCTGGGGATCTGAGGGCAGCAGAGAAAGCTCAAGGAGAAGTTAATAGGTCACTAAAAAAGATCTTCAAGTACCTTAGCTGTCTGAGAAAACAGATTCCAGAAGCCACAGCAGCTATCATGTTTGTGAAGCTCTGATATGATTTCATATTATAATTATGTAATTGATACAATAAAGTTGGAAACATGTAATTGGTTCCTTTCAGTTGTTATGTTAAAATATAATCAGAAGCAACCTAAGGAAACATTTTGTGGGTACTTGTGGTTCCAGAGAGGGAAGAGTCCCTCATAGTGCGGTGGCATGACAGCAAGAAGCAGTATGGTGGCTTGAGCAGGAAGCTGAGAGATCACATCTTTAACCCAAACAGGAAGCAGAGCGGGGCTGTATGCCACAAACCCCATCCATAGCCATGTGCTTCCTCCTGTCAGACTCCATAACCATACCAAACAGCCCCACCGCCTATGGGCTAAACATCCCCACCCTTTAGCCTCTGGGCAACAGCTTTAATTTAACCTCCCTATTGTGTGTCTGATTTTTATTTTTTATTTTTTTTTAGGCAGAATAGTAGTAAGAAGTTAAATTTAATTTTAGGGAATGGGGAGTTGGGTCAGAGAACTTGGAACTCAAAGAAGTATAGCTGGTAAGGTGGCCTGCAAACACTAGGTGGGCTTTCCTGTCTACTTACATAATACACGCACCTCCTTTGCCTCTCTGCCTCTGAATAGCAGAAAGGTTCCTGTAGTGTTGGAAGACAATTGCCTTTTTAAGGTAAGAGCACACTCAAGCTCCCAGAACTGGTGCCAAGCATCAAGGTGGCTCTAACTGGCTTTCAGCCTTTTCATGTCAATGACCAAATTCTCCTGAGCAATGCTGGGCTTCCCCTGTGAAATCTTGTTCTGCTTTGTTGTGTGTAACTTCATGAGTGACCCACAGCCCACCTCTGCATGCATGTTTCTAGGACAGAGGTGGGCTGTGGGTGGCTTTCTCAATCGCTCTTCACCTTATTTTTTTGAAACAAGGTTTGACCCCAACCCAGAGCTCACAGTTTCTTCTAGACTGGTTGCTCTAGGATTCTTGGAGTCAGTCTGTCCTGTAAGCTACAAGCTTCTCCACCATGCTGAGGCTGGAGGTGCATGCAGCGACTCTCAGTGCTTGACACGGGAGCTGGGGACTGAACCCCATGCCCACAGGCCTGTGCAGCAGCAGGGGACCCCCCTGAGCCCGCTCTCCAGAGCTGGCTTCTTTTTGACACTTTACTGTTTGAATTGATGCAGCAAGCACAGTTTTGATTTTGAAATTTTCCCATCTTTTTCAAAACATTTCATGAGGCCGGGTAGTGGTGGCGCACGCCTTTAATCCAAGCACTCGGGAGGCAGAGGCAGGCGGATCTCTGTGAGTTCGAGACCAGCCTGGTCTACAGAGCTAGTTCCAGGACAGGCTCCAAAGCCACAGAGAAACCCTGTCTCGAAAAGCCAAAAAACCAAAAAAAAAAAAAAAAAAAAAAAAAATTCCATAAGCACTTCATAGTATGTCCTTTCTTGTGGAGTCACATACAAACTCCTAATGCACTGTAATTATTTTCTAGAAATTCTCATTTACATCCAAAAGCTTTTAGGTTTTTTTTGAGAAGATTCTCTCTATAATAATTATCAAATATGTACACATATTTTATATCTCTGAAGAGTAACTTACTCTCTGAGTCTTTTTATTAGGATGTTAAATCAGACTGGCTCATGACCCTTTTATGAGTTTGTGGCTGTCAGCAATCATTGGTCTTGATATAGCATCTTCCTTGGATACATCACTGTTTACTGAGTCATGAAATTAGCCTTTGTCCTTTAAAGACAATGGTCATACTGTATGTTTGGATATCAATGCCCTTCGTATTCTGGGCTGGGGTCATATGTATCAAACAGTGGTAATTTCTAAGATTATAAGTTGAATGTAAACAGATATAGGGAATGTGCCACTGTCATTCACAAATACAAACAGCCTACATTTCTGTTTAGGGAATTTATTAGTTCTTTTTGATTCAAAGATGAACCACAACCTTTCTTCAAAACAAGCCCATTATATCCACTTCTTTCTTCACAAAATAGCATAGGCCACTTTCTCCTCTTACATTGTAGGTGATGCAGATTGTCAGCTCCAACGGATACACTGCTTCCGACTTTCCATTTTAGAATGTATTGCATACATTAGCAAACATAGGACTCTTAAACCTGGCAAATTGAATTTCACACTGCTTAATAAGAGATTCTCTACTGACATAATAAAAATCTTCCATCTTGTAGAATCAGACCAAAAATTTACTGGTAAAATAAAATTTGCTTATTAAGTATGTTTTCAGTCTTGATGTATGCACAACTTTGAGATTTCAAGTGAGCCAGACAAAACTGCCAATCCTTCTACATGATTTATTATTTAACGGTGACCCAAACCAGAGAAGGAGAGAGAGGGAAGAGGGGGCGGGGATGAAGAGAAAGACAGAAACTTTTATTTTTTCAGCTTCTTTGGTAATGACCTTCAAGCTCCAGAATGGAGGGCATTGATATCTTTGCATGCCTTCTCAATGATGCTCTGTTTATACACAAGGCATCCGAGACTAGCTTTCTTGTGACAAGAATGGTCATTAGCCAGCGATGGGCACACATGGAAACAGAAGGTGCCTAGAGCGGCAAGGAGTTCAGAAGTGCTGAGAGCAGGTACAGACAGAGCACTTGAATCAGCCATGTATTATTTGCCCTTAAACGCATAAGACTCTCGTGGACCGGAACACCATAGAAAATTGAAAACACCTTATCAAATGACCAATGATGCATGTTCTTGCTAGATAACAGATAACTGCATTTAAATTTTGAATGATAGAATTTGTTTTCCTTAAAAGTCACTGTGAAACTCATGTGTTTATATGTGTGCGTGTGCGTGTGCGCATATTTGACAATGCCTTGCTCTGTAGCTCAGGCTATCCCAGGACTCACAATGCTGCCTCTGCCCCACCCCATATGCTACAGTTATAGGCAGATTCCACATGCATCATTTTTCTATTTTACATGTTGCCTTAGGATTTAATTTCATTCACAGAAACACACAACTAAATTAAACATGGAGATAGTATTCTTTCCACTAGCACCAGATCCATGATTCAGAATACCTTACGACTATAAAAATATCCACCCTGTTCATTCTAGGTGCTCATGGCTTCCCTCCAGATATCAGATCAGCTCTTCAGTGCTATTTCTTTTCATTTGTTTTCATCTAGTGAAGAACGATGAATAAAATCTCAGAGACAGAAATTGGGGTTCAACCTGAAGTTCAGAAAAGCAAAACAGCCAGCCATTGGCTTTTACCTCAACATCAGTCTGAAATGGCAATCATGCCTCCAGGAATCTCAGAATGAGACTGTGTTTGAGAGCTGTCTCCTCCTATATAATCCTCTCTAGTTCTGGGATTAAGGGCATGTAGCACTACCACCTGGTTCTAGTTCTGGCAAACTAGTGTGGCTACTGGGGTTAAAGGTGTGTGTCATTGCTGCCTGGTCTGTAAGACTGATTAGTGTGGCTGTTTTACTTTCTGATCTTCAGGCAAACTTGATTTATTAAAGTACAAATACTAGTTTAAATAATCTGCACCTGTGTGATTATTACTCTGTAATTTTAAAATTTAGGGCTATTTAAAATTCTGTTCCTAATTCCTTTGATTTCTTCATCGTTTAATTAGTTTATAAAACAATGGCTTTCTCTACGGCATCCTCTCTCACCCACATCTTGTATCTTGCTCATCTTCAGCCTCCGTTGCCCCTTCTTGCCTAGGCCTTCCCGCTGGCCCCCACTTCTCTCCAAGACATCCTTTCCTTCTTCCACGGGCTCTTCTTGCCTCTTGCCAGGTGTCTCTGTCCTATGTTGGTTTTGACAATCTAATGTAATCAATGCGCCTTGCCTGTGGGGACTTTCCAGCTCTTTTCATTGAGTCTGTGCTAATATACTTAGGTTAATCAGCTAAAGGTGGAAGGCTAAATTTCCTCTAATCAGCGGTGCCATCTTTGAGATGCCATTTACACCTCAAGCCTGGGCTCTGTTTGTCCCCTCTCTTACCTGCCTCAGGTAGACTAAGATAGTCAGTGCAGGAAGATGTCGTTGTCTGAG